TTTGTAGTTGTTTTTGACATTTAACATTATTTAAACGTCTGTGTTTTACTAAAACCGTCGTCTATTATAGTCGAAAGTTCTCTTTTTATGCTTTTATGTATCAAATCGACGTCGGTTTTAGTTTTTTTATGACGTGTAATATGTTAACCACGTCGTTTTTTTTTGTGTTCAAGCCGTCAAAATAATTTTCAACGTCTGTGGTGACCTAAAGGGTCGTGGTTATTATTGTTTTTACGTCAGTTCAAGTAAATACATGCCATGTTATATGTTTTAGACATCAGTTTTTTTATTTAGTGAACGTAGTATTTATTAACCACGACGGTTTCTAAGTTTTACACGTCGGTTTTGTTTGATTTAGAGACGTTGATAAAAATATTTACGTTGTGTTTGTAGTTGTTTTTGACATTTAACATTATTTAAACGTCTGTGTTTTACTAAAACCGTCGTCTATTATAGTCGAAAGTTCTCTTTTTATGCTTTTATGTATGCAATCGACGTCGGTTTTAGTTTTTTTTATGACGTGTAATATATTAACCACGTCGGTTATTTGCCGTCGTTATTTCATGTGTTAAAAGACGGCGGTCGATTTCTCGTCGGTTGTAAAACATGATACACGACGGTGGATTCCCGTCGTCTATTTCATTTTTTGTAGTAGTGACACCAACTGACGTGGTAGCTCCACATCCACATCGTTGGACCTTTGCACCATTCCTGACAACATAAACGATGGAGAATTGCCCTCCTCCACATCTAAAATGCTGCCAAACCGAATTGTCACAACTTAAGAGCCACCATCTTTTCATCCTTGCAAGTTTTCTTCCGCTACTATAATTGTAAAAGGGTCAAGCTAAATGAATAAGCATCCAGTCATGCCCTGATTGTGATTAGATACGAATAACACCATTTTAGTAGATGGCAGAGGAAGCCATCTTTGCCAAACCCATTAAGAAATAGGGCTATGCTTTGGCTGAATACCACCAAAGACCCATCTAGGTCAATCTTCAAATCAATGACACCTAACCAATCAAGCCTAGTCTGTATGGGCCTGGATTTACACGGCTAACAAATTTAGCATTGGGCTAGTTTATGGCCCAAAGTTTAAGACTAGTTAATTTTATTTACCAATTTATGGTAAATAATCAAGGAATTATTGGCATATAACAAATTGCCTAAATTAGGAAGGATATTTGGAGTGAAAGGAAATTTAATAATCGGATTGGTTGATTTGATTCACGACTTAATAGGAAAAGATTTCGTATGGAGATTAGGGTTACAAAATCTCTATATAAAGAAGATCTTTACAAGCTCTAGGAGGACACACAACTTTTCAACAACAAACTCTACACTAAAGCCAACACTTTCAATCAAAGATATTCGTCTATCTGCTATTTTGCTCTGCCAAGCCTCCTTGGTATCGATTGTCAACTGACTCCTTCAGTTGAAGGCCATTCTGGTTACTTTTGCATACTATTTTGATCTTTCTGATCCACTAGCAGCCCAGTTCCGATCCTACACTCGATTGCCACTCAATTCCTTTGATTTGTATTGAATCAGAATTGATACAAAGTGATGGCAATCCTTAGTTCTAATCGATCTGTTCATCTGCTATTTCATTGTTTACTGTTTTATTTACTTTTATTGCCCTTTACCTTTTGTATTAGAGAAATTATGAAGTCCTTATTTGTCTTAAGGCATAGAAAAGAACCTCAATTGAATTGTTTACCATTCAGCTCACAATCGTTTGATTAAAGTTAGTTTACCTCTTTTATTTATATTTTATGTCTATTAGAATTAGTTTAATTGCTAATAGTGGCACGCTCACAACTCACATTCTCCATTATGCCTACTTTAGGTCTTTGTTTATTTTTCAGGGGAAACACAGTCATAGACCACTGTAGCCGTTATGTGAATAATGGCTCAAAATCACGTGCATAAATCAAGGAATTTCATGATCCAACAACTTATGCAATAGAATCTTATGTGTCTAACATATCGTATATACTCATTGTTCGGTTCATTTTTACACATGATTTTTCATGTTATTCACCCACTATTTTGAGTTAGTTCTTGACATTTTATAGCTTTTTACTTCCTTTTTGTGTTTTGTTAGATTTTACCTTGGTTGGAATGAAATTGAGCTAAAAGTGCATTATTGGTTATAAACTTTGTTTTTGTTCATTTTCGTAGGTCAACTTCTTGGCCTGGGATCAACATGCTCTGGTGCTCGGATGAGGTCATGATCTTCATGAGACTTGTTCCAATGGATGTTAACTACAACATATCCAAATTTGAGCTCCATTGGACAAGTATTGCCTATCCAACCAATCCA